GAGCGCCATGTGCGACTGTGTGTGTTGTTTTGTGTTGTGTTTCGTGTGTGGGGTGTGTGTGTGTGTGTGTGTATGTGTGAATCATTGTGTGTGTGTGTGTCGTGTGTGTGCGCGGTGCGAATAGCAGAGCAAACGTGTCCTTAGTTCCACTAATTCGCAATTTTCGCAGCTTATTCGCACTTATTCCTCCTTATTCGCCAAGAGATAATATGCTTCGCGGCCGTTCTTATACGTTTCAGAGAGTTTGGAACCGGACAGCTGACAGCACGTGTGCATGGATCAATCTTATCTACATGCCTTCACTCGCTACAGCAGCATCCGCCCACGATTCTGTGTCATGTGGCGTGTGCTTATATGGGTATGTGTGGTGTGTGGTAGCATGTGTGTGTGTGTTTGTGTAGAGGGCTGTAATGTGTCCGCTGTGTGGTTGTGTGCTGGTGTGTGTGTGTGTTATGTGATTGAGGAATGGTATGTATGTGTGTGTGTGGGTGATGTTTGTGTGTGCGATGGTGTGTATCGTGTCCGTGGTGTGGTGGAATAGTGTGTGATGTGGATGAGAGAGATGTGGTGATGTGTGTGTGTGTGTGATGGATGTATGCTATGTGTATGTGTCAGAATATGTGTCGTGCTGGAGCGCAGAGAGAGGATGATATGAGTGAGAGTGTGTGTATGTGTGTGTGGCCTCGATGTGTGGTGTGTGCAACTTGGAGTGAAGCTGGATGTGGGGATGTGGTGTGTGTGTGTGTGTGTGTGTTGGTGTGTGGTGTGTGGAGTCTGTGCCGTGCGAACTAGCCAAGCAAACGTGTCCTTATTCGCACTATTCGCACTTCGCACTTATTCGCCAACCTTATTCGTCCTTATTCGCCAAGATAATATCTCTTTGCCTTCTATAATACTTCCAAAATGGAGCGCGCTAGCTGGACCCCCAGACGTGCTGCATGGTACAATCTTAATCTAACATGCCTTCAGCATTTCACGCTAGCAGCATTCCGCACCGATTGTGTTGTCATGTCCGGTGGAGCTGTGTAGTCTATGTGTGTGGGAGGTGTGTGTGCGTGGATCGTGGTGCGTGTGTGTTGTGTGTATTGTGGGCTGTGATGTGTGTGGACTGGTCCGTGTGTGTGTTGTGTTGAGGCTGTGTGTGTGGTATGTTGTGTGGACTGTTTGTGTTTGTGTGGGTGTGGACCTGTGTGTGTGTGTGTGTGTGTGTGTGTTGTGTGAGAAATAGGTGTCGTGTGTGTGTGTATGTTGTGTGAGTGTGGTGTGTGTGCTTTGTGCTTTGTGTGTGTATGTTGTCCGTGTGTGCTGTGTATGTGATGATGTGTGTATGCTATGTGGTCATTGTGTCGAGGAATATGCTGTGTGTGTGCTGTGTAGTAGTGGTGGGTGATGGTGTGTCTGCTTGGAGAGTATTGTGTGTGTGTGTGTGGTAGTAGTGTGCGTGTGTGTGTGGTAGTAGGTCGTGTGTGGAGAGCGAGACGAGAGGAGACGCGAGAGCGATCAGAGCGAGAGCGGATGAGCGAGAGACGATGTGTCGCGAGAGCGATGCCGCGGTGAGAATAGCAAGACAAAGTGTAGTGTATGCCGAATTCGCACTTATTCGTATTTCGCACGTGCAAGTTCGCAAGAGTCTATTGACACTCTTATTCGAGCAAGAGATGTATTTGAATATGGCTGGGTAACAGGCAGGACAGAGGACCGAGAGACAGTAGACATACGTACTCAAGTAGTAGCAGAGATCTACAAACAACATGAACGAAGAAGAGACAGAGACCACGACGACAGAGACAGGGACTCAGGCAAGAGCAAAGCATGAGACAGATGTACAGAGACAGATTGCAGAGAATCAGAGACAGAGACAGAGACAGAGGTGAGCGTAAGGCAAAGCTACGTGTCAGATGTAACTCAATGGCTTTGAGCATATCGATGAAGTGTGAGATCCTTGCGAGCAGACGGAGAGCGTGTTTTGTGTGTCGGTATTCATTATATTGTGGCAGAAAGCTTGCTATAACTGAGAAGTTCCTACACTACACCCATCTATTATACGCAGCTCACTCTTCTCACTTGACCTCCCCATAATCTCTGTGGCAGTTCCCTATTTCTCAGAGTTGATGATTTTTCGTTATTGGCGAATTCCGCTTTTTAATAGTCAGCCTGCGCGTGCGATTCTTGCAAACTCCAAATTGTGTAATAAAGTTTAACAAAAAAATCATTTTTTTTAGTCTAAGTTAATATTACAGGAAATAGTGTTCAGCCCTAGATTGTGGACTATGTTAGCAGATGGAAATTGTGATTTTAAAGTTAATTCTAGATGCCAGAAATGCGCGCAGATTGCAGAAGAATGCAACCCTAGAGTTCTGGGGCCTGGGCAGTTGCTGGCGCTCTAGCAGTCCCCAGGCCCCGGGCTGGGTGGTTGGCAGTTTTGTTGTCCAAACCCTAGTTATGTTCACACCTCTGTATTTCTGCTCTTAGACTTAGTTTGCGTGTTGGTGGCCAGCCACTATCCCCATCGTGCGGACTTGTCCGTGCCTGCGATCCCTCTGTGGCCGAGTCCCTATTGATGCCTCTTGACGATCTCTCAGTCGTCTGCAGCTGAGCAGAAGCAGATCTACGAGTTCTCGTGTTTGTGTGAGGGCTGTATGTGTCCGCGTGATGTGATGGGCGAGCCTTCGCAGTGCTGTCTCGCGCTGTGCTCGCCTCCGACCTGCAAGTATTGTAGACCCGACGCCTGCGCATCGATGGATCCTGCGTGCCACGCTGTAGCAACCGTCAGCGCCGCAATGGCTGGACAGCAGCAGGACCTCAGCGAGTTTCAGCACAGCTTGCTCGAGCTGGCCTGGAGGAGGCTTCCAAGCGACGCGGGCGGCAGCACGGCTGGGGTTGGCACGGCTGTGTGTAGTGTGGAGAATGTATTGTAGGCGTCGGAAGTGAGTGCTGTCCGTGGATGTCACGTGCCATTGCTGTATGGTGCGGCGAGTGCCGCGCTTGTATGTGTGTATGGTGTGCCTTTGCGATCGGTGTAATGTGTGTGTGTGTCGTGCCGGTGCGGCCTGTGTGCGTGCTGTGTGTGTGTGGTGTTCGTGTGTGTTTGATGTGTGTGTGTATGTGTCCGTGTGCCCGTGTGTGTATGTACTTAGCGCGTATGCGTGTGAATTGTGCGCGTACCCCTGCTGTGTGTGTGTATGTTTATGATGTATGTGTGAGAATAATGTGTGTGTGTGTGGTGTGTATGTGTTGGTGTGTGTGTGTGTGTGTGTGTGTGGCTCGTGTGTGTGTGTGTGTGTGTGTGCCGCGGCTGCGAATAGCAAGCAACGTGTCCGAGACAGAGACAGAGACAGAGACAGAGACAGAGACAGAGACAGAGACAGAGACAGAGACAGAGACAGAGAGCGAGAGCAAGGCAGAGAATAGGATTAGGAGAAAGAGTGTGGAGTTGCAGCAGAGGGAGTGTGTCTGTTCATTAGATGGGCAGAAGGTGCTATACTAGAAGGCTACACACACCCACCTTAACCAGCCACTCTCCTCACTGTGACCTCCCCCCATAAATCTCTGTGGCGTTCCCTATTCTCAGAGTTGTGATTTTTCCGTTATTTGGCGAAATTCCGCTTTTTTAACAGCCCTGGGTCGATTTTGCGAAACCTCCAAATTTGTAATAAAATTTAACAAAAAAAAATCATTTTTTTTAGCTACTAAGTTAAATATTACAGAAATACTGTTCACCCTAGATTGTGGGACTATAGCAAGGAAATTGTGATTTTAAAGTTAATTCTAGATGCCAGGAAATGGCGCAGATTGCAGGAAAATGCAACCCCTAGAGTTTCTGGGGGCCTGGGCAGTTGCTGGGGCCTTAGCCAGTCCCTAGGCCCCCGGGCTGTGGTTGCAGTTTTTGTCAAACCCCAGTAATCACACCTCTGTATTCTGCTCTTGACAATATCTTGTGCACGCGTCGTTGCAGGAGCAGAACTAACCAGCCACTCTCCCCACTGAGACCCCCCCTGCCGATCTCTCTGTGGCGATCCCTATTATGCTCTTGACGATCTCTCGTCGTTGCAGGAGCAGAAGCAGATCTACGAGTTCATGGGCGAGCTTCGGCAGCTGTTCGCGCTGCTGCTCGCCTCCGACCGCAAGTATGTAGACCCGACGCCTGCGATCGAGATCCTGCGTGGCACGCTGAGCAACGTCAGCGGCATGCTGGACAGCCAGCAGGACGTCAGCGAGTTTCAGCACAAGCTGCTCGAGTGGCTGGAGGAGGCGTTCAAGCGACGCGGCGGCGGCGGTGGCACGGCGGCGTCGGAGTGAGTGCTGGTGGATGGTCACGTGCATGCGTGTATGTGTGCGTGCGAGTGCACGCGCTTGTATGTGTGTATGTGTGCCTTTGCATGGGTGTATGTGTGTGTGTGTGCGCGCGCGTGCGTGCCTGTGTGCGTGCGTGTGGATCCATGCGTGTGTGTATGTACTAGCGTGTATGCGTGCGTGCGTGCGAGTGTGTATGTGCGCGTATGTGCGTGAGTCCTTGCATGTGCGTGTCCGTGCATGTGTTCAAATGACACAGAGATATCAGCGGTGCAGTTATTGTGCCAATAAGTGGTCGTGCACATGCATGTGTGCGTGCGTGCATGTGTGTGCATGCACGTGTGTGTGTGTGTGTGTGTGCACACGTTCAAGTGACGTGGTGGCGGCTGTGGTGCGGTCGTGACGTCGTCTGAGTAACGTGATGGATGCAATATCTCCGAAATATTTGCAATATTTGCAATATATGCAAATGGATGATGGATGCTGCCTGTCAGAGTGCATGGCATGTGCATGCCCAGCATGCTTATCATTTTATGTGCATATTTATGTATCTTTTGACACATTTAATATTTGTTAATAACTCGTGTATTCACATCCTTTAAGTATCAATAATCTTTTTGCAGGTCTCGAGGACCGAGCAAGAATCCGATGATTGATCTATTCTATGGCGTGTACAAATCCTATGGCATTAACGAAGGTAAGTTCATTGCGTCTCACAGATATTAACTGGTAAACATAACAGTAACGTACTTTAATGTGGCCTATAAGAGCCAGTGCAGTTAACATTGCTCCTGAATATATATATACCAGTCGGTTGTGTGGAGCTTAACCACCACAAATTGATTTTGTGTCGCCTCAGTACATACACGAATGGATTGCTTGTAATGTTTATACTCTGGTTTCTCTGCAAAACGTATAAATCTTTCGCCTTTTACTAAAGATTTCCGTGCAGAGGAACAACTTAATGAGTCTTTGACTTATTTCTTGCAACCCTAATTGTTTAGGGTTATAAATATTGAAATGATATGTGAACAATGGTTATTGTATTGTTGGTAACACTTGTTTTCTGTTTAATTTTTTGCTTAATTAACCAACTTTGTGTGATAAACTCATTAGGTAAAGGGTAGTTAGAAAGTGAAATGTTATTTTGGGAAACATTAGTGTAATATGGATTAGCATTCTTACAAGCTGCCAAGTAATTAACGAATGGATTATAGACATTTCCCCCTTGATTACCCTGTGTATCATGAGTCCTCAGTATCAATGTTGGCTAGTTTATACTCTATGCCAGTGGTGGGCAAACTTTTCAGAGCGAGGGCCGCATCAGTGGGGCTCAAGGGCCGGCCATCTCTGGCGCATAATTACTAAATGGCGTTGCACGAGCGAACGCGCAGAGACAATCACGAACACTAATGCTAGGACACTGAATAATGTCAAGCCCTCGGGTTCACAAGCATCATAACAACATTGCTGAACTTCACAACATGTTGTATTGATTTTGTTTGTATTTATGTTTATTTTCATTTTTTCTAATTTGCTGGGCAGGCTTGCTGCCGGCGCCCCGCACGAGAACCCCCTAGAGGGCCGCATGCGGCCCGCGGGCCGCAGTTTGCCCACCCCTGCCTTATGCTATTCCGCTTAGGTGTATGACCATAATACGACAGCTAAGAAACTTAGCTGTGGAACTTAGCTGTGGTTTTACATGGTAATGTGGTTTTTAGAGAAATTTTCTGAGAAAAAATGTGTGCCATATAGGCACATGAAATATGTACCGATGTCTTTAAATTTATGATAGTTTACTTTATATTCAAATATTTTACTGGTTCGCTACGCACAAGCTTATCTGATCGTGTATTGCGTTGTAATGCAGGTGTACTTACCATAAGAGTTTTTATTGCCAGGTAAAGTGTTTTCTAACCAGGGAGACATTTTGGTCAGTACCCCACTACAAGTAAAATGGCTTTAAGGATCTTCATCAGAGTCTTGAGGCATCTACTGCTACAGAGGAGATTGAAGCATTAGATTCTGGTGCTCCTAGCAAATCGGGGCTGGAGGTAATCTATTTTGTAGCATTAGCATTCCCACATATTGTTCCTTTACTCAATATCACCATTTATATATTATATTGTTGTATATTAAAAAATGTACCATACACTAAATTTCAAATAGTTTGCTGGTTCGATCTAAACATTAGTTACTAATTATCATTATTCTCATTAATGACTACTAGCAGGACACCCGGTCAACGCCCGGGAAATAAAGTGCTCAGTTGGGTGACCAAGCTCTGTTAAGAAAATACCAAAAATATCTAATTCTATCCTAATCCGTATCTCACTACGGCTCTGGTCCCGGTGCGCTGCCGTGCGGCTGCGTGCGTGCGTGCGTCCGTCCGTCCATCCATTCATCCATTTATCTATCTATCTATCTATCTACTCGATCTATCTATCTATCTAATCTTATCTATCTATGCTGTATCACCTATCTATTATCTATAGCTCATCTAAGTCGCAGCGAGTCCATGCCTAATCGGCATGGCCAATCTATGCTTAATCTAGTCTAATCTATCGTATCCTATCAATGCTAGTCTAGTCTAATTATCTATTGTTACCATTCCATTTCATCCATCCCCCATCCATGGCTATCCTAATGCTATCTACTCTATCTAGTCTGACTCTATCTATGGCTATCTATCTGACTCTTCTAATCTAGTCATACTAATCTATTGTACTTCTATCTAATCTATCTAGCCTCTATCTATCTATTATCCAGTCCACCATGCCATCCATCCATAACCATCCGATCCCCATTCCATCCATCCCATCCCTTCTCACCATCGCATCCCACTGGTTCGGGCCCACACCGGGGCGCCGGACCCAGCGCCACCCACCTACCCTACCGACCTACCTGACGCATGTAACATGCATGTATAGTAACGCAATGTAATGCCGTCATTGTATGCAGTAATGGCGAGCTCGACTTGCAGAAGCTACATCCCCATGTTATCTAACTGCTCTGGCAGGGGGCAGCCTTGCTTTGTACTTGAGTAGTGCCCGTTACGCATTGTACAGTAATGCGAGTCGATGCAAAGTGAATCCCATTTATTTAATGCTGCTGCAGGGGCCCGTTTATTTAGTGTTGCTGCAGGGGGCGTTTATTTAATGCTGCTGCAGGGGCCAGTATATATTTAGTTTTTTTTCTCGTTTTTGGCTTAGATGACCTCAAAGGTCAAATCTAATGTGCCATGACCTTCAGCACCAAATTCTACTCATACTGAACGCCTTGGATATTTCTAGAGTGCTCGGTACTGATTTGCATCGAGAACAGACAAACAGAGGCACATTCACAAATATGTATTAGATTGAATCTTTGCTATTTCAGCACTGGTTTACAAAGATGCCCGGGGTGTTGACATTTGAACTGTCGAGGTTTCAGTTTAACCAGCAGTTAGGAAAGCCTGAAAAAATACATCAGAAGTTGCAGTTCCCTAAAGTCATCTACATGGACAGGTATAAACTCATATCAGCAGTAGTTATAATATTATTTAGATGTGAATAGCTATGAGTATCTGGAATGTAATGAATATTGTTTTTTCTCAAAAAGTATCGTAGTTTTTTTCGTTATCCGTAGTACACTCAAACATCATCTCATGAGTTCACTGCTGCTATAGAAAAATTTCAATTCCTTATTCAATATTTCATTCAATATTTTATAGATATTTAGAAAGCAACAAAGAGTTAACACGTCAAAGAAGGGAAGAGATAAGGAAGCTCAGAGAGGAACTATCAAAACTGGAGACAAAACTAGAACGGTATGTTTACTAGATCTAACTGGGTTAATTGTTACTCAACCGCGAAGATTGAAAACGTACAGCTGACTTTTCGCCTCCTGAACCCAGTTAGATCTATTAGTCTACCAACCAAATGAACTTATTTAATGAGGTATATTTACTAGAAGCAACATTTGTGCTGTCGAGTTAAGCAATGGGAATACCACCGTCGCCAGCTTTTCGTCTCTAAAGTGCCGTTCTTGCTCTCGTGTATATCACTGAGTCTAACCGTCACAACACATATTGCATGTTTGAACATAATGGTGCAACAGCGACTAACTCAGAACTTTGCATATGTCCTATTACTCGATACTTCCACATCCGAAGACATTCATATTAGCCAGATCGCCATTACTTTTGAGTCCACATGCGGAATCAAATGGCTTGAATTGACTCGGCGAATCCCGAAGAGGAGCTTCCAATTCACCAGATCGACATGGTTTCGATTCACGAAACTCGAATGCTTTGAATGCTCACCGCATCGCAAGAGACTCGCTCTCCGATCTCAGACACCGGATCACAATGCTTCGATTCTGCCCACGGATCGACATGCCCGCCCCCGTTAAACCCAGCCCGCACCCCCACCCATGTCCTTGAAATTGGGCTTAATCAGTCTTTACTCGAGGCTCATGTCCCGCGCCGCCGCGTATAAACGTCCACGCATATTGGAGGCACGCCAGTCGACGTACCCCTCTTCGAGCCCACGGCGAATCTTTCTTGCAAAGAATGGGAATTGCCATAGTCCCAGCTTCAGAGTTTGCCCAACGCGATTCTGACCCATTTCACGTATGGCTGGAATGAATAACGGGCCTAGGGTTTTGAATTTTAAAATTTTCCCTTATGCACCGCAACTTACGCTCCATGGTTTGCCGCAATTATAAATAGGGGCATATTAATTTAAACACCCCAGATACACAAACAGTCTGTCGGGCACACCGTGCCAGTCTAGGTTCAGCGTGCTCTACAAGATTCTCAAATCTGAGCCAAATGGCATGATCATTGTAAATGGCCACAACATCCTGCTATGATACATATTACTGATTTATCACTATTATTATATCACCCTTATATCTATTACGCATCCATAAGAATTTAGCTAGAAAAAAGCGGGCGTGTACCCTGGCCACCTACGCGCCACAAACTCTGTTGATCTCATTTGGTATTATAATATATTTATAACTTTATATATAATACATTTATTATTTTCAAGCCAAAAAATTACACATATAATTGTATCAGCCAGTAATAATGGGAGTCTCCCCCATCACACATCACCTCTTTATCCGTATCTATAATGTACGTCCATGTTGCTCCAAG